TCTTTGTTGAGGCCAGACCGAACATCATTCCTTGAGGGAGTGTCTTGACAGGGCTGCTTAATCCACACAATGAGAACTGTTAATTAAATAAATATTCTCACTAAAAGCAACACATCGCCACTTACCTGCATCCCACAATAGAGCATGGCTGACGGATTGGGCTCTCTCTAATCACCGTGCTTTAGCCCGTTTAACAACATACAGCATTATTTTCAGCACCTGGAGGTGGTATTTCCGCTAATGATGCTTCGTGTAGCACTAAAACAGCCAAATATCTGTAAATACAATCCTGGACTGTTTAGGAAGTCTGGGCACCCCAAACACGTTACTCTTCAGGAACTTTTTACTTGTACTCAAATACACCTATTAAACACATAAATCAAAAGCCTCATACCTCCTCTTGGGATCCGCGACGGCCAGAGTGGAAACCATCTAGAAAATACAATAGTACGACCCGTTAAATGTTTCCTCCCAAACCCTGAACTTATACTCATTACAATATAGGAACTTTAAATGTTCAATAGTAGAGATAACNAATCAGTCCTCCAATGTTATGGAGCATGGAATCAAGTTTTATCCTGCATTGCGCCTCATGCTGATGCTGAGTCGATAATAATTAAATAAATTATTCTGATTTATATATCTCCTGGCATTGTCCGGTATACAATGTCTTACACTGAACCACCATACCTAAGACTAAATCAAATCAGGGTTTTTCTCCAATAGCCATGTTTTCAACACCTACTGTTTAATGTTAAGCATAAAGTGACACAGCCCCCAGTGCATGGTATGCTCTTCTCTGTCCTTTATCCTGCTGCCCCCCCCCCCTCCCCCTCTCTATAAATGTTGTCCCGGTCTCCAAAGACGACAACCTCTCACCTGCCCTCGTCAGGTCTCTCTGATGGCTCTCTGTTCCGGAGAACTCATCATTTCCACCAGTTGATGGAATACATGTGAGCTTAGCTCAAAGTAACTTAGATGAGGTGTTAACCGGCAAACCACTGAGCCATAACTATAGAGCTAGAGCTTAATCAACTCAATTCACATTCAACAATCAGTTTGATCTTGATTTTCTCTTATCATTAAAGGCCCAGGTTTATAATCCATGGAATCAACTCC